AAACTTACTGTACATTTCACTAACCTATTTTTTGACAAAATAATAAGTTGCTCTTAATAGTGCCTCTATTTTTCTTCCCCCTCCTTCTTGCTTCTCTGAAATCTGTATTATTTTTATAAAAATCAGAAGCAGTTTTATAAATTACTTCCACTATGAGAGCAATATGGCAGACCGTGAGTACTACATGGTACTTCATCTTCCTTTCCCCTGTTTCTGAGACCTATTGTATCCATTTTCATGGGAGTGAGGTTCAGAATCCTGTTATTATCTACATACACTGTGCAAGGGTGAAGAATGACACAAAAGTTGCAGTTCTTCCATGATGGTGTGTGTAAGCTGCATTTTCTTTCTTGGCAGAGTTTTCAGCAGTGCGACCCCATGAACATACTTACTTCACATATTTACATACCGTATATATTTTAAGGGCATATCCGAGGAGTTTGAAATACACACTGTGAAGAAGGACTATAGTTCTAGTGTCAGCCCTGTAGGACAGACTGCTGCCAACATTTCTTCCTCTTTGATACTGTTGCACACTTTTTTATCAGCCTAAGTATGAGCAAGCAGGAATTCCCTGGCATAAGCTTTATTTTCCAGGGTATAGTGGGTCAGCCAGCTAAGCTTCTATGCATCTTGTAAGTACTAGCAGTGTAAAAGGGAACCTTGACTGTGGGCCTTCATTAATAATAGGGATAATCCAAGAGAAGAAACCCATGTTCACAATGCTAAATGGTAACCCCAAGTTTGAGTGTGGTTGTCATTTGGGCAGCAGCACAGAAGTAATGAAATTCTGTGAGCACTGTATGGCATTCGCCCCTCATGGCCCCAGCCTGATTCTCCAGACACGTTCTGTCCATAAGGGTCAGAATGTACTTATTCCCCCTTCTGGTGGCGTTAGGCAAAGGACCCACCAGGTCGATTCTCAGCCTTTGGAATGGGGTAGAGATGACTGGCAAAGGACATAATTTGGCTTTAGTCCTGTCCTGCCCTGTCCCTCATCTCTGACAGACATCACAAGTTCTGCAATAATAAGTAATCTGTTTACCCATACCTGGCCAAAAGAAGTTCTGGGCAACCCTTCTTTTGGTTCGTGTGATCCCCATGTGTGCCCCAAGCAAACTACTGTGAGCTTGATTTATTATTTTCTCCCTGTATTTACTTGGGACCACTAATTACTTTTGGGGTTCTCCTTTTCCTCTGTATCGGGTGGCTAAAATTTCTCTATACAAAAGGTCTTTGTACAAGCAAAATCTCTCAGGGCATTCAGGAGACAATACAGTGGGTGTTCTGGCTGCTTCAAAGGAAATTCCCAAGCTAATGTCCTCCTTCTGCTCCTGGTCAAAATAATGTTTATTGGGATTATTCAGAAGCATGAGATCAGCTTCAGCACCACTATTAATCTGGTTATTCGAGGGACTCTCTCTCTCTCTCACCTGGTCTCCCTCTGCTACTATATCCAATTCTGCTGCAGTGGATGATGTTTGGCCCCCTTTGAGCGTGTAAGTACAAAAGCACTCTTGACATGCTCTATTAAGTCCCAACTGATTAGAAAAGCAGCTGGTATTTCATTTGAAACTGCCACCTGCCACTTTCCAGACTAATTCCCATAGTTTATCTGAACCTCTGCTACTTTCAGCACTACAGATTCTTTCGCAATTCCTTTTAAGGCCATAGTTCTGCCTGGAATTATGTCATCCTGGGCTATCAAATCAGAATGTACTATAGAAATTTGAGATCCTGTGTCCCTTATGGCAATATATTTCTTTCTTCCCACTAATATCGCTTCACCAGCGTTTTTGAGAAGAGTATTGTCATTTTTTAAATATAAAAACACTGGACTATAGGGGCTACAGGAATGTCTTCTTGCTCAGTTGCTGTGGTTGCCATGGAGACAGAACCTTGGCCACGGTTTCCCTCAGAGGCTTCCACAGTTCCCAAGCAGTATACTTTCTTGATCTGGCCATTATTCTCCACATTTTTAGGTTAATTTTTTTGTACAACTGAATTGTAAATGACCAGGCTCGCCACATTTGCAGCATCCATAATTCCTTCTCTCATCCTGAGGAGATCCATTAATTTTGCTGAGGCACAATCCTGGCCTTCATTCCCTGATATTTTACTGTGGTACTGTTTTTTGAAAGGTTGGTTGAAGGATTTCTTATGGTTGTCCCAGGTTGCCTTGTTAACTTTCACCTCAGAGAATCTGGGGTCTTTGTACTCCTAATATGATCTGCCTGTTCACCAGCTTCTATTAGAATTTTTGGATTTTTGTCCCTAACTAGATAGCACAATTCCCCAGGTAAAATAGAGTAAAATTGTTCCAATCCTACCACAATTTTCATCTCTTCTAGAGAGGTAACTTTTTCACATGTCATCCCTTTGTCCAGATACTGGTGTAACTTAGACACCAAGTGAGCATACGATTCTTCAGATCTTTTAGTAAGGGCATGAAATTTTCACCTGAGATGTTCTGCATTTATGCAATATCTGGAAAATACCATTTTTCTATAGACTTCAAAATCTCTAGCCTGTTCTAGGGGAATCTGAGAATAAATCTCAAGCAATTCTCCACTGAATTGTGACCTCAGAACAATCATCCTTTCACTATCTCTGATATCAAAGTCCCAACACGCACACTCAAAAGCGATAAGAAAAGATTCAGGACAGACCCTTTTCTTATATTGGGGAAATTTTAGCCAGAATTCCTTCATTTGAGCTGTTATTTTTATTGTTATTTTGAGAGGTTATTTCTAATTCAGAATTCCTTCATTTGAGCTGTTATTTGTATTATTTTGAGAGGTTATTTCTAATTGTCTCATTTGTATTTGAAAATCCATCTCTTTTTGTCTTAATTCCATTTGTCTGGCCTCTTGCTCAGCTTTTCCCCTAATTTCTAATTCCCTAAGCTTGTAACCTCCATTTTTCAAACACTAGGGAGCTTAGGACACCTGGTCTTTCTGATGCATTTTCCTCAGTCTCCAACTGCTCTTTGGAGATAAAGGTTCTCCATTTCCCTCCATCTCCTGAGATAATAAATTTTGTGCCTCTTGAGACTCAGTTTCCTTCATTACTGGCTTCTGCTTTTTCCACAAGTGCTCCCTAAACTCTCAGAGCCTTGAATCTTAAGCTAGCCCACTGGGTCTTCAAATCTTGAGGTAAAAATACAGGAATTTTCTCTCAGAGTCATTCCCTATCTTAGACCCCCCCCCAGATCTGGGTTCAGAAGCCCCCACCACTAAGCTTTTCCCAAAAGCTCTAGTGAGTAACCAAACTTCTTTGCCACAGACCGCTGTCTAAAAGGTACCTTTGACTCAAGAAAAATTCTCATTAAACTCAGGCTTGATTGGAATTCTTCGTATCACACCGCTGTCACCAATTGTGGCATTCGCCCCTCATGGCCCCTGCCTGACTCTCCAAATACAGAGCACAGGAAGGCAAACCAATAATCCTTTTTACGCACTGCCACCAGTTGATCACTAAATCAACATTACTTCTGGAAGGATGAATATGCAGGTCCAAACTTCACTTTTAAATCAAACTTGTTTATTGATTACAGATGTTTGATTATTAATCATAAGTAACTTCTACAGGTTCATTGATCATCACTCTCAACCTTCTATTTGTTATACAGTTCTTATTCACTCTTCACTCTTATCACACCTCAGATTTCCCAAATACCACACTCTATCTCTCCACTCTGATTCACTGACTCACTCTCTGACTCTGTGCCTTTATTACATATCTCTCGGCTCCGCCTCTTGGCAACATTAGACTGCAACATGAATATGCATGACTTGTAAGCATAATAAGGGTGAACACTACACACTGCCCCATACATGAATCAGAAAGATGCGATACAGCATCCTTTGGAGCATATCATATCAGAAAGTATGTTGGAGGATAATATGTTTGAAAGATACACCCACACCCCTGTACATAGAAAACTGGCACACATTTTTAATCTGCTAGTGTTCTGTGTGCATAGTCAATTTCATATTTATGACTATACATACCTCTCTCACCTCTCCCACCAGCATTTGAAGTAGTACAGTACAGTCTAAGAAAAGCCAAATCTCATGACCCTTTAGTATGTGCTGAACACACCCTAATGTCCAAACAATGCCAATTTTGTTATGTATTCCTATATATCTCTGTGTATCAACTGTATATATATGTGGGAGAAAGAAATATACTATTGGGTTTTCTTTTTAAACCAGAATTGCAAAGTGAGTGGGAGCTGTATCTTCTGTTGAGGATCTTGGAATAGAGATAGTTATACTGTTGTAAGATCAGGCTGGCAGACTGACAAGCTGCTTGTAAATGGCCTTTTTTATAGTCTGTATAAAAAAACTGGCTGTATGAGAGACATTTCTACTAATAAATAAAGGGATCCAGATTGGTACAATCTGATTGGGAGTAAAGTAAACACTATATGAACATTTCTTGATGTATGATTTGGAAAGTAGCAGGGTAACAGAACTTTTCTGACTTGAAGATCTATAGAGGCAGCCAGCATTAGGTAGCTAGTTAAGAAAGAAAATACCATCTCTTGATATAACAGGACAGCTGGAGAACAGCTTTAAAAAGCTGAGAATAGCCTAAAGATTTCCTAACAGCAGGCTGAAGGAAGACAGTAACTAAAAGTTGAAATTACTGAACAGAAGGAACAAGTAATGCCTGCCTCTGTAGAGAAGGAAACTTCAGAGAGAAAGAGAGATGTCTAGAGTGTCAGCTGTAGGGCTGTCAGTTTTGCATTTTTCCCTGAGTCTCTAGGCAAGGAGGCAAATCTCAGCAAGTGGCACTGAAAAGAGGAGAATGTGTGATTTGCATGTTTGAAGTGGCTTTAAGTCTTGAGTACCTACTTCCACCCATTGCCAGCTGGTGCCAAAGCTCTGTATGAAGGTGTTTATAAGTGTGTCATCCCACCTTGGTGACATCACAAGGACCAATTGCTGTGACATCACAAGGGCCTCACACTCTAACTTTATAAGGACCCACGCCTTGGTCTCTTTTTTTTCTTCTTCTGTTGTATCAAGAGATGAGATGCTTCTGACCTGACAGCCATAATCAGCAGAAAGTGATGGACCTGAAACAACAGCAGGTGCTGGAGTAAAATTTGAAGGAGGACTCTGGAGAGAAGTCAATATCTATCAAAGACTGCAAATACCTAACAGAAGATAAAACTCTTTTAAACCCCAATCAGGCAGGTTAGTTGAGGGTGACTTTCCAGAGTAACTGGATAAATCTTGGAGGAAAAAAAAATCAGTTTGTCAAAAGCTATAGTAACACATTTAATGGTAATGTCCTATTTAAAAAGCCTATTTGGTTAAACTTATATGTAAATATAACTTGTTGTGAAGGACAGGTGGCCAGTGTGCCGTCCTCAACTGGTGACAAGGAGATGACACATGAAAGGAAAGAGTGGGAAGCAATAGAAGGAAAAGTGAATGAGCCTGAACCAAAGAAAGCCATAGAGATGTGCTTAGTGGAGGAGAAGGAGGGGAAACAGGGGGAGGAGCAGAAGCTGATGTTATGGGAGGAAGATATAAAAGGAGGAGGAGGAGAGCGGGAATTTAGAACCGTAGTATGTAAGAAAGACAAGAGCAGGAAAGATAGAGCGATGCAGATGGATGGAGCAGAAAGCAAGATAGACAAGGTGTGTGACTTACTGAGAGACTTTCCTAATCTGAAGATGGGTAGAGGTCTGCTACGTGACCCTGCTTCCCCTATAAATGGCAAGAAAATCTACGAGACTTTAGAATGGACGGTCCATTCAAACCATTCAAACCGTCTCCGCCTCTTCTTCCTGCCAAAATGGAGGAACAGTCACCAGTTTTGAAAGAACCCAATCACACTTGTAAATAAACTCAATATCCTTTGGTTTAAAGTACTGGAATCTCTATGGTGTTTTCTTCCACGCCTATCTTCAGATACTAAAAGTGAGGATAAACAATGTGATGGTGGTGGCAGCAGTGGAATAAAAGATTTTTAAAACTATGTGAGTAAACCACTTGTTATATGGTACTCAGTGTGGTGTAGTGGATAGAGTGATGGACTAGGACTCTGGAGACCAGGGTTCAAATCCCCACTTGGCCATGGAAACCCAGCAGGGGCATGGAACTGGTAAACCACTCCTTAAATATCTCACCTTGAAAACACCATTAGAGTCCTTATAGGTCAGTTACAATGTGTTAACACATAAGTGACTAAAACCACTTTTCAAGTTAAGTGACTAATCCTGGTAACAAGGTATTCAGAACAAAGCTGGAAATAGAGGAAGGCAAGGTGCATCCATTATATAGCTAGGTGATC